TAGGTAGTTCACTATTTTTTCAGTTTTTTGATTCTGCATAAAAAATGGCTGGACCGATTCTGCTGAAAATTAAATCAGTTCTAAGTTACGTAATTACGCGTCGAATGCAGTTGGTCCCACGTCGATATCATTTTTTGTTCTTGAGATAATCGAGGCGAAAAATAATTCCGAACGCCCGTATGAACATACGAACATACGCACATACGAACATATGCACATACGTACATACACACACACAGACGTACACGTAAAAACTATCGTATTCAACTCTGGGGACTTTAAACGTGGAGATATGTCAAAATTAGCGATTCGCAAAATCGGACCCATTACTATAACTTCCCACTGGGAAGTTAACATGCTGGCTCTGTAGTCAGAAAGTTCGACAGTTATTTCACCGAACGTTGTTCGATTCCAATTGCGGCAAAATTTTTTTTTTTATTCAAATTGCATATAATTGCAATTTTATTATGCCAAAAATGAGTTTTAAATTTCAATTTTTATGCAAAATTATTTTTCAATTAATCGATGACAAATAAGAAAATATTTGAACAGAGCCATAAACTCTTTTTTTGTACAAATACATTGATAATAGCCTTTTTTAACAACTTATTAACAATAAAAAGTAGTTTAAACAATCTGTGGCGAGTTCCGGCACTTCCCCGGCAAGCTCTACCCACACTCTTTGTGCCCAAGCCTGCAGCTTATAATTTTGAAGCATCGTTAATATTGTTGGAATCGTAATAGCTCAGTGGTTAGAGCACTAACCTTTCTTTTTGCTGGGCAGGGTTCGATCCCAGTCATAGGCAATTTTTTTTTCTTTTTTTTGCTTAAGTGACTTTATATACTTATAAATAATTTCATATATTTTACTAAATTATTCTTCCAATTGATTACGGAAAACAACTTGTTTTTCTGAAAATAAGCTGAGGATGAAGAACGAGTTACTATGACATCTCTTTTTTCGAAAATGTTGTCTTTAAAAGACAATAGGAATTGATTTTGAACTTATATAAGCAACCAATTATTGTATTTATATAAAATTTGATTGAAAAAAAAAGGAAAAAAAAATTGGCTATGACTGGGATCGAACCCTAATCGGTAAAATGAAAGCTTGGTGTTCTACTTACAGAGCTAACACATCATATCTGACATTACGTTTATGTTTATAAATTGTGTAATGCAGGCTTGAGTACGAAGGGTAGAGATAGAGCTTGCCGGCGAAGTGCCGGAAATCCCCGTGGATTATTTCAACTACTTCTAAATATTTCTAAATTGCTTAAAAAAAAACTATGTTCATATAGCTATAGTAAAAAAAGTGTTCATAACCCTGTTCATATGTTTTCCAACTCGACGTCGATAAATTACATAAATAATTAAGAAGAAAAAATCAAATCTTTAGTAAGAATTCATTTTAGCATGTCAATATTATAATTACATGCAAATCTAACAAATGAAAAAGAAAAAAAAAAACTTTATCATGACTGAAATCGAACCCTGCTTAGCAAAATAAAAGATCGATGCTGTAACCACTGAGCTATTATGGTTTTAATATGATTATATATGCTTAAAAATTATAAGCTGCAGGCTTGGGCACAGAGAGTGGGGGTAGAGCTTGCCGGGGAAGTGCCGGTACTCGCCACAGATTGTTTGAACTACTTTTCAATGTTAATAATAATATGATTAACTTGTTAATAACATTTCAATAACATAAAATTGTTAATACATGTAAAGATGTATAAGTTGTTAAACACAGGCAATTATCAATGTATTTATACAAAAAAAAAGTTTATGGCTCTGTTTAAATATTTTCCGACTTAGCGTTAATAAATTTAATGAGTAAAGAGAAAAAAAAATCAAATCGTTATAAAGGAATAATTATGGCATGTCAATATTGTAATTACATGCTAATCTAACGAATAAAGTAGAAAAAAAAGTGATTATGACTGGGATCGAACCCTGCCCGGCAAAATAGAACTCTGACGCTCTAACCACATGGCCAGCATAATCTCGATATTGAGTTAATGTATATTTGTTTTTACACTACATGCTTGGATACGCCGACTTGGAATTGAGCTTCCTTATTAACATTTATACCTAATAAAAATGATAATAATGGATGAATATATGTATTTGAAGTTATTTGCAGGTATTATATTAATTAATGTTAAATGAGTATCATTATTTTTATTTATCCTAACTGCAATAGTCATCAAAGTGTAGGGCATTGTAAAGTGATACACTATGTTTACATCACATACATATATTACCCGTACACACACATACACAAATTACTCGCCAAAATGCAGGGCACCATCAGTTCTGGATACGGATTGAGCATTTTTTCAATATGGATGACTGAGGTCATCTGCGAGCATAATGCTGTCACCTATCAGAATTTTTTCAAACTAATTTTCCGGAGAATATCATCTGGAATACAAGATTTCTAATTATTTCTAAATTATTAAATTTTATACTATGAATTGATTTTTTTGACATTCAGACAGGTGGCAAGGACTGACGCAAACACGAATTTTGGGCGAAAAACGTATAAAAATAGAATAATTAGTGATTTTTCATCTGAATGATGTGGCCGCCATCTTGAAATTGAAGCGCGGCAAGTCAATTCATAATTTTTTCATTATTCTTTCTAATTTTTTTAATAAAAATATTCACTATATACAAAAAATTGTTGTTTACGTCAGTCCGGCATTAATTCCTCTGCAATTTGGTACCTAATTTTATAGAAATAATTGTAAATTGGCGAAGAAATTAGAAATATCCCGATCCCATGTATTTGGATAGGGGGAATCAGTCGCCTCTCTGACTTCAGCCCAGCCTTAATGCCTGGTCCATCAAAAACTTTGATACCATCTGAGCAATTATCGATGGAGTAGTTTTTTTTTCAAATAGAGATTCAACATCTAAGGGCGAGTTTCACCACATAGCAGACTGCTATTGTGTACCAACTTAAATTTTCAAAAATGAAAGAAATTACCATTTGTGCCATCTGGCGAGTTCTGGTGAAGTAACTTATGTTCTTGGAAAGAAATTTTAATATGGTTGACCGGCAAAAGTGATTGTAAACAAGAATAAGACTGAATAGGTAAATTTTACTCCTTATAACTTTTCTTTCACTTATTTTACAATAAATATTAGTAAGTATTATTACTGAATCATGTATTAGCTAGAAAATCGTTTATTGAACAAACGTGAACAAATAGTAGCAATTGTTATTAGCATAGAAATTGAAAGAAGTAAGGTTAAAGGCTCATTTATGTTCATACATTTGAATCAATGGAAATGAATGATTCATTTTAATAATGTAATTTCATTCTAGATTATTATTGAAATGTCACAAAAACATTGTTCCGTTGATGACAAACTAATACTAATTGATTTGGTAGAGCAACATTCAAAAGTGGTGGAGAATAAGAGACCTGATGCAGTCGGAAATCTCGAAAAAGATGAAGCATGGAGTGTCATAACGGAGACATTCAACAAGAAAGTTGTATTCAAACGAAATACTGCATCCTTGCGAAACTGCTGGCAGCATATAAAACAATGTGCTCGAAAAAATGCAGCACAATCTAAGCAACAAACACGTGCTACAGGTAACCTAATAATAAATAAAATCAATAATAATTCGAATCCAGACTTACTATCAATTATCATTAATACTAATTTTTACAGGTGAAGGTGTTAATACAGGTCAAATGAGTGTAATTGATATGGCAGCATTGGAAATAATTCATCCATTCTCTGTAGAAGGCCTACAGAATATATTCGATAGTGATGCTGAAAATGAATGTCCTAACAAAGTAGTGTTTGATGTAAATGTAATTCATAGATTTTTTATAGCATTTACTTCAAACAAAAAAAATAGAAAAATGGAACAAATGGGACCCGAAGAAGTTAAAAGCATCATTGAGTGCTCCTTTACGTAATGCCGTCAGTAATGTTTCACAGCAAATTCCTAGTACATCCACGGGCATTACTAATGCATCAAGACAGAAGTCGTCTGCAACCGAATTAACGTCTCTTAAAGTAGAAGCTTTTCAATTACTTAAAAAAAGTTTAACTGAAAACCAAGCATTAGAAAAAGAATATCTAAAAACAAAGTTAGCGCAAGAAAATCTCGAACTGGAAATTCTAAAAGCTAAATGTTTTGGTTTGAATAAAATGAAAAAGAACAATTCTAGTAATGATAACATAAAGAAAAATATAGCTAGCCATGCTAAAGTACAAAAACCTGATTATAATGATGAGAATCAACAGACTGCTTCTCAGAATGATGATTCGATTTTGCTTAGTTCCGAATCCGATTAGAGGACATAGATATATGATATATTTAAAAACGAAAGTACAATTTTAACAATATAGTCTAATAACCAAATATTATCGTTCAAGTATTAATTATAGTTCGTTAATTCGTTTTTAAATCTTAATATTTACATGTGAGATTGAGCATATGTTTCTTCTTAAACTTAAATGAAAGAATTATTTCATAAAATTTTATGAATAACGTTTAGTATTCTTCAAAAAAGAATGATCTATGTGCAAAAGTATTGTTATTAGTAGATCAGCATTTAATATGTTAAAAAACAAATTAGTATAAGAAAATGTTATTTAGTTTTGTGAAAAAAAATATATTTTTTATGCACGTGATGAAAGTATTACTATGCAATATGATTGTGATTCTAAGTCGATAAGTATTGCAAGTTCTATCATTAATAAATGTTAAATCATATTTAATTATTAATAATATTGGTACAAAACATGAAAAAATTATTAATTCGTAGTTTAGTAACTCGACATTTTGTATTTTTTTGAGTTAAAAAGATCTTAATATTACTTTTGTAAAAATGGCAACATGTATGATTAAAAAAGTTTAATATACACTGTATAACTTTATTATCACAGTTAAAAATAAATAAACATCTATAAACCTTTGTAAACGACATTCTTATTATTGCATTATCATGTTATTATTTATCAAATCTTTTTACAGATAATAATCTAAATAGATGTATAGTAGATGTAATGTACACAATCAAAGCATATCAAAGATACCCATTCAAAGTAAACTGAAACAGAGTAGACTCAATAAATTACAACCCTGGTGGAAATATATCTACAACTTTCTACGTGACTCTACAACAAATTACAATTTTTGACAACATTTTGCATGGTTGTGTAAAATTGTAGTTTGTTGTAGATATATTTCCACCATGGAATATAATATAATAATCATGATATATATTAATTTTCGATACTTACTTATGAAAATAATTATTTATTATATGTCTCTGCTGATTTTGTATAAGTTGCTGATGAGTTTCAGGAATTTGATCATAAGCTCTTTGATTTATTAGCGATTGAGGAATTGCTCTTCTTGTCACATTATATAACACAGCGGATGCAATTATTGCATGCATACTCAACTCTGATTTAAAAAACCTGGAACCTATAGTTAAAACGGCGAACATTCGTCCCCAAACACCAAAACATCTCTCAACCATCGTTCGTGTTCGAATTTGTGACTCATTATAAAGGACTTCAGCTGGAGTCATAGGATTGTGCAATGGTGTCATAATAAATGGCACTTGAGAATATGCAGAATCACCTACAAGCAATGAGTTATAGAATTCACCGTTTTCGAATCGTCTTTTTATTCTAGAATTGTCAAATATGGTAGCATCGTGTGCCGATCCAGGCCAACGTGACACAATATCTATAATCTCCAATCTCGAATTGACAATGACTTGAGTGTTGATTGAAAAAAACGATTTCCTATTCCGGAATAACTCTGCATACTCTCCACCTGTAATATTGATACCTTAAATTGTAATAGTTTACATAATTGATTGAAATTATATACATGTATGTATATATCGCATTATAACAAGATGAGTTATTGTATATGTATACATACCATACGAACAAACCCGAACATGGACGCAATCGATAGCACCCAGGACACGAGGAAAGGCGGCTTGACTAAAATTTTGACTATGAATAGCTCTAAATTTCTTGATGAGAAGGCGGTATATAGATGTAACGTTCCCTCAATCCAGCAATTGCTTCTGATACTCTATGCACGATTCGCCAAACGCTAGTTTTGCTAATACCAGTAAAATCTCCTATTGTGATGTAAAATGATCCAGTAGCTAGAAATCTCATAGCTACAAGCATTTCAATTTCAAGATGGCGGCCACATCATTCAGATGAAAAATCACTAATTATTCTATTTTTATACGTTTTTCGCCCAAAATTCGTGTTTGCGTCAGTCCTTGCCACCTGTCTGAATGTCAAAAAAATCAATTCATAGTATAAAATTTAATAATTTAGAAATAATTAGAAATCTTGTATTCCAGATGATATTCTCCGGAAAATTAGTTTGAAAAAATTCTGATAGGTGACAGCATTATGCTCGCAGATGACCTCAGTCATCCATATTGAAAAAATGCTCAATCCGTATCCAGAACTGATGGTGCCCTGCATTTTGGCGAGTAATTTGTGTATGTGTGTGTACGGGTAATATATGTATGTGATGTAAACATAGTGTATCACTTTACAATGCCCTACACTTTGATGACTATTGCAGTTAGGATAAATAAAAATGATGATACTCATTTAACATTAATTAATATAATACCTGCAAATAACTTCAAATACATATATTCATCCATTATTATCATTTTTATTAGGTATAAATGTTAATAAGGAAGCTCAATTCCAAGTCGGCGTATCCAAGCATGTAGTGTAAAAACAAATATACATTAACTCAATATCGAGATTATGCTGGCCATGTGGTTAGAGCGTCAGAGTTCTATTTTGCCGGGCAGGGTTCGATCCCAGTCATAATCACTTTTTTTTCTACTTTATTCGTTAGATTAGCATGTAATTACAATATTGACATGCCATAATTATTCCTTTATAACGATTTGATTTTTTTTTCTCTTTACTCATTAAATTTATTAACGCTAAGTCGGAAAATATTTAAACAGAGCCATAAACTTTTTTTTTGTATAAATACATTGATAATTGCCTGTGTTTAACAACTTATACATCTTTACATGTATTAACAATTTTATGTTATTGAAATGTTATTAACAAGTTAATCATATTATTATTAACATTGAAAAGTAGTTCAAACAATCTGTGGCGAGTACCGGCACTTCCCCGGCAAGCTCTACCCCCACTCTCTGTGCCCAAGCCTGCAGCTTATAATTTTTAAGCATATATAATTAGAGATGTGAATCGGTAATTGACGGGTAAATTTACCGTAAATTACCAGTAAAAAACGCGTCAATGACCAAGCCTGTTTTACCATACCGGTCAGAAAAATGCTGATCTCTGATTGGTTAATACATGTCCAATCACAGTTTAGAATTCCCAACGGCATACAACTGTTTATTTGTTCTATCAGGTATATATTTTCATTTTTATTTGTTTATTAAAAATACTGATAATATTTAATATAAGAAAATTCAATTTGTAGATAAGGATTTTCATTGAGAACTTGGTGCAATGGGGGAGAACAAATCAATATATAAACATTTCTCTGCATTACCTCTGCAACCTAACCAAAAATTAAAATCGTATTCATGTAACTATTGCAAGAAAAAGTATGCAGAAAACATTTCATGTCATCTAAACAGCACAGACGACTCATTTACTATTGAAGATTTGAATGAAGCAGACAATAGAGCAAGTACTTCAATGATTTCAAATGAAAATTTACCAAATAATATAAGTGTTTGTAGCAATAACTATAAAAAAAATACAATCGATAGTTTTTGTGATAAAATGTCAAAAAAGATGAAGATTCTCTACAAGAACTACTTGCAGAAGCGATTTATGCATCTGGTACACCATTATGTATAACAGAAAATCCATATTGGCTAAAATTTTTTAACGCATTACGGCCTTCATTTAATTTGCCATCAAGAAATCAAATATCAAATAATCTTTTAGATTCAGTATTCGTTAGAACACAAAATATGGGTTAATGAAAAAATTGAATCTGCTACTACTGTTGGAGTGCAATGTGACGCATGGTCTAATATTCGCAAAAAGGAATCATCAATTTTATTGTAACAACCCCAGCGCCAGTTTTTTTCAAAACATTTCCAACTGGAACCGAATCACAAACTGCCTTATATATTTCTGAAAAAATAGGAAGTGTTATTGATGCTTTGGGAATTAAAAAAGTTATCGGAATTTGTACAGATAATTGTGCTGCAATGAAAAGTGCTTGGACTTTGATAGATCAAAAGTATAATGTCGACAAATTGTATTGTTATGGTTGTGCTGCTCACATTCTTAACCTACTCATGAAAGATATTGGTAGTCAAGCAACTGTTGAAACTTTGGTGACAAGTGCAACAGCTATTGTAAAAGGAATAAAAGAAGTACAAATAATGTCAGCGATTTTCAAAGAAATTCAATCTCAAGATGAACGTAGAGTATTTATTACCTTAAAATTACCAGCTAAGACAAGATTTGGATCTACTATAATTATGATTGACAGTCTTTGTGTTAATAAGTTAAGCGAGCAAGTATAATCACTTCAGCATGTCAATGGTGGCAAAGTATTTGCCAAAAATCTTCGTTGAGCAAAATAGCTGTGGCTATATTGACTTTACCTGCAACATCAGCTGCAACCGAGCGTTCCTTTAGTACACAAGGATGGATTCATTCATCTAAAAGAAATAAGTTAAGTATCGATAGAGCTGGAAAAATAACATACATTGCAAGAAATTTAAAATTACTTAATCCTTCACCAAAAAATACAGAAGAAGAATGGGAAGAAGATGAGGAAAGTAATAAAGGAGAGGATGAATAAGTGAAATTTGTGCTGAGCATGAAGAAGTTGAATTTTTAGAAGAAGAATTTACTCAAGACTAATTAGTGATGTTGATGGAATTGAATCAGTATTAGACTTGTTATTTCCTAATGAAATATGTCAATTATTATGTGATATTACTAGTTGATAGAAACTATAGATTATATGGTTTTATTTTTTCATAAATAATTTACATAAAAGTTAAAAAAGTCAAATTCTTTATAATATGTAATAACGAAGGATTATCTATTTTATAAAAAAAAATGTACCAAAAACTTAACTAAATAAACGCTTATAATAATTTTCAATATATTTATTATTTCTGTCCTAACAGTCAAAAATGTAAAATATTTTTTTTATTACAAATTACAAAATTTTTTTTTCATCTTATAATAATTAATTAGTTTTAAATTAACAAGTGCAAAAAGCAAAATTAACATAAGCAAATTGGCAAGCAAGTTCGAAAGCAAGCCATTTCCTCGGTAAAAAGCTCATCATATTCATCTATATAGATGCGAATGACCGGTAATTTACGGTAATTACGCTGACCGACGGCTTGACGGTAAATTTTACATTCAGAATTTTTTGACGTCAGAATACCGTCAGATACCGGTAATTTTACGTGGTAATTACCGAATTTTCTATTACCGGTAAATTCACATCTCTATATATAATCATATTAAAACCATAATAGCTCAGTGGTTACAGCATCGATCTTTTATTTTGCTAAGCAGGGTTCGATTTCAGTCATGATAAAGTTTTTTTTTTTCTTTTTCATTTGTTAGATTTGCATGTAATTATAATATTGACATGCTAAAATGAATTCTTACTAAAGATTTGATTTTTTCTTCTTAATTATTTATGTAATTTATCGACGTCGAGTTGGAAAACATATGAACAGGGTTATGAACACTTTTTTTACTATAGCTATATGAACATAGTTTTTTTTAAGCAATTTAGAAATATTTAGAAGTAGTTGAAATAATCCACGGGGATTTCCGGCACTTCGCCGGCAAGCTCTATCTCTACCCTTCGTACTCAAGCCTGCATTACACAATTTATAAACATAAACGTAATGTCAGATATGATGTGTTAGCTCTGTAAGTAGAACACCAAGCTTTCATTTTACCGATTAGGGTTCGATCCCAGTCATAGCCAATTTTTTTTTCCTTTTTTTTCAATCAAATTTTATATAAATACAATAATTGGTTGCTTATATAAGTTCAAAATCAATTCCTATTGTCTTTTAAAGACAACATTTTCGAAAAAAGAGATGTCATAGTAACTCGTTCTTCATCCTCAGCTTATTTTCAGAAAAACAAGTTGTTTTCCGTAATCAATTGGAAGAATAATTTAGTAAAATATATGAAATTATTTATAAGTATATAAAGTCACTTAAGCAAAAAAAAGAAAAAAAAATTGCCTATGACTGGGATCGAACCCTGCCCAGCAAAAAAAAAGGTTAGTGCTCTAACCACTGAGCTATTACGATTCCAACAATATTAACGATGCTTCAAAATTATAAGCTGCAGGCTTGGGCACAAAGAGTGTGGGTAGAGCTTGCCGGGGAAGTGCCGGAACTCGCCACAGATTGTTTAAACTACTTTTTATTGTTAATAAGTTGTTAAAAAAGGCTATTATCAATGTATTTGTACAAAAAAAGAGTTTATGGCTCTGTTCAAATATTTTCTTATTTGTCATCGATTAATTGAAAAATAATTTTGCATAAAAATTGAAATTTAAAACTCATTTTTGGCATAATAAAATTGCAATTATATGCAATTTGAATAAAAAAAAAAATTTTGCCGCAATTGGAATCGAACAACGTTCGGTAAAATAATTGTCGAATCTTCTGACTACAGAGCCAGCATATTTTTCATTTGCTTTGTTTACGTTTAGATATCATAAGCTTCAGGCTTGGTAACAGAGGGTGGGGGATGTGCTTGCTCGTCAACTGTTCGAACTCGCAGTCTTCTCTGAAAAATAAGACGGAGATAGATAGATATATTCTGTGCTCTGTCTTGCTCGAAACAGATTATTCAAAAATTTGTAAATTTCTTGGTGCCCTAAGGCTCCCTTTTTGTAGTGCATCCCTGAAAATTATCATTTTTCGAACGATTTTCCTGTTACCTACTCAATTTCAGTTGACGTCAAGCTTCGGCCTTTTGCCGCACAA